GACATAAGCAGATTGTTGTATCTTCTTATATTTTCCTTTATGATTGTTAATTTTGGATACTTTACACTGTTAAGTTTTAATCCTCTTTTAGACTAAAAGGGGAATTGTAGGGGAAGCTGTAGCCATGCCTACTTAGGGGCTGGCTACAGGTGTGCCTGACCACGCTTGCAAGGGCATGGTCAGGGTGACGTAGAGCGAGATTTGAAGGGGACTGCGTCTCTCTTTTGGTTTCACTTTTGTGCTTGCGTACAGACGGATGCCACGTCGGCTGGCTAGGTTGCTCTGTAAGTAAGGTTTTTCCCTATTAAATACCCTCATATTTCCACCTGACTCCATATTGGTAATTTCCCACTATAGTGTATCTTGAGGTATGCAAACGTCCAGCCCACAACTCGAATATCAATTGTAGATGTAATTTCAGTAGCCGGGAGGATTGACTAAATGTAGAAATTATTTTCACAACAAATAGTTGTGTAATATGGTTCACTTCTAATACTTGTTTGAGCTTGAAAGAATTTAAAGCAATTCAAAGCCAGAGGAGAAAACTGACAAGAAACTGATTTCCCAGGGACCCCATAAGTCCTGATGTAGATCCTGGGGAATGGGACTAGGTATTCCCTGCCCACTGGGAAGCAGAAGAAAAGCCATATGAGTAGACCTGTGACACAGTCCACTGTGACAAGAGGACAGAAAATCTTTGCCCAGTGGATTAGAGAAGGGCAAGGAAATGCAATGTTCATCTATGAGAGCAACAGACTCCCATGAAAAACTGTGACTTTCATTCTGCCTTCCAGACTGGTACATCCAGACACACACTGCAGGATTCTAAGCAGGGGAATTAACACAAAATCTTGTCTAAGTCATAAGCATCCCTGGGTCCTTAGCAGAATGAGGGGCACATTACTTCTTAAGGAACTGCCATAATCCCGTAGGAAGTAGCTTGGCATCTCATCTAAAACAGAAATACCTTAATAGGTTAGTGACATTGCCTGTGGGAATTTTCTACACATGTTATATACCCACATCTGCATGTCTGTACATACATCCAGCTGCCACCATAATAGTTTTACTTGTGGAGAGCAACATTTTCTGCAGGGTAATGTGACTAGCACCTACTATCAAAAATAACAGTGAATAATCTGAAGCATAAGGGGAATTTAGGGATGGATAAGCCATGAAAATGTTGCCCAATAAGAAACAATCAAGGTTAGCCAAAGTGACCCAGTGAGACCTGCGTCTTGAAAACAAACAACAAAAACCAAATGATACTGTTCTCCCTAGCATTTTGTAAAAACACACTAAATGTAAATGTAAAACCCTGAGTGTAAAATCATTTCCGTTTGATTGATTTTTGCAGGTGTTTCTCTTAGAAAAGAGGCTTCCAGACCTTATCACATCAATGCCCTTCCCATCAACGCCTCACGGTTATCTCTTTCAGGTCTAATTAAAGTCAGAGAATGGTTGTTCTCTGCAGAGCATCCTGTGGGAATTTTTTCAAACGGATGATGCATCTGTGTGTTGCTTGGATGAGTTCAGCGTCACTATGTCTCTCAGGATGAACAGCAAAGGCGCCAGTTTGCTGGAAAAAGATGCAGTTCCTTTTCAGAATTCTGAGTAGTTACGTCGGAGGTCCTCTAACCCTTCATCACAACTCACAACCTTTCTTTGGACAGGTGGGCATCTTTCTGCCTCCAGAAATAGCTGGCTTTATTATTACTATTATTATTATTATTATTATTGTTGTTGTTGTTGTTTTTATTTTGGAATGTTTTAGAGAAAACTAGACATTTCCTTCTCTTTCTGGTAGGTTCTATCTGGTTGAGGGCTCATCCAAAATGAAAATTGGGCAGAATACAGGTGTTTTTTATGATAAAATTCTTAAGACCCCCACAGAGCTTCTTTAGTACTGAACCCAGGCTTGCAGGCTCATAGAACTGACTTCCTTGCTCAGTTCTAAAGTAAGAAATTAGAATAGCAAATGCTGGCTCTTGGCTGGATACTGAGCTTGTGGAAAGTATTTCTATCCCATATCAGTATTTCTTGTTCTCTACCCCTCTCTTAGCATGTAGGAAATTATTCCTCATCCTCCTCTTGGAAGTTAGTTAGAACCAAATGACCAGCTAGAGGGCTGTTGCAGCAGTAGTGGTGTGACTGTTATGGGGTAAGGTAGCAAAGACATCGTAGTCTACACTCTAAGGAGTCCAACTCCAGGTCAAAATTCCATGTGTGTCCAATAGCTCAGAGCCAAATACAGGCAAATGCAAGGCTACATAGCAGTAGGGAGAAGCTGCCTTCTTCACCCCAGTCTTAGCACACACAGAGTTTTTATCCTTTGAAGGAAGTTGTATTGAAGGATCAGGCTCCCCTTTCCCTCCTAGTGCTATTGGGCTTCTGCCATGCATATCTGCATCTTAGTCTAAACAGCTCCATTGAGAGCATCCAAAATGAGTAAGGTATTAAAGACCCATTCTGACCCAATGGCTTCTCACTCCTCAACTCTTCTGACCTCTCTTCCAGTTCCCAGGTCTATACAATTCCAGGAGCCTTTGTAGGATCCTTTCCCGAAGTCCTGCCCTGTCAACTATGATGCATGTCACCCGATTCTTACCTGAAACTCATCTCTGTTATAAAAAATTAATGAAGGAACACCATGAGAACCAACCTTTTCTGCCTAAGATCTTGCTTTGTTACAATGATGAGCAAACAAAGGGTTGATTGCTTCTTTCAGTTTGTTTTCCCGTCTTACTTGACCTCTTCCATACACACAGCATCACTAAGACTCTACCTTCCCAGGCTGGGTGGAGGTGCCACAAGACTGAAACATTCGTCTGGCAGAAAACAGTAACCACAGTGATTTTCTCAGCTCCAAAGCAGAATTTGGATGCTGATTTTACTATAGCATTATCAAAGCTTAACCTAAGGGAATTATGCACCAAACTGGAAGGAATAATACTTACCATTTCAGGGTTATGCTTAGGTCTAAGGTGGCAAGAAGGTTAAAAAGATAATTGTTTCAGGGATTTTTTTTTGTTCAAGGCAGAGGTCATAAAGGACCCCATGTTTAATGGGGCTCAATGAATGCCCAGCTCTCTAAGGCCTTCCAATTATATTTGTTACTCTTTACAAAGGACAAGAGAAAGGAGGGGCATGACAGAAAGATGAGAGTGTTGATAAGACAATGTTGGTCCCTTTGGAGAAGAAAGAAAAATACCAAGAGTGAATAATGAGCAGACCCAACCCTGACATGATGTTCATTTTGTTACTGTACCAGGTAGGCCACCCAGTTTGGTGGAGCTGGTAAAGGTGGTATAGAGGTAATGAGAGTTTTAGTTATGGCTTCAAGGTCAATGGCACCAGATAGAATTTATACTTTGCTTCTTTAACATTTAACAGTCTGAAGGAAACAAAATCAGAGTCTTAGCAAAGTCATTCCCAGCTGGGTTAATTCTCCTATAAGACATAAGCGGGTTTGAGTGATGGAACCGGTAGACTGTAGAGAACCCCGAGATCTTCCACTCCTAGGAGCTAATACATCTGTTAGGGAATAGAAATGACACGTCCATTCCTCAACTGCAGGGGTTGTCAGCTGTTTACTGCTAGTGGCTGCATCTCTCACTGGAATAGTCAGGGATAAGAGATCTTTCTCAGCTAACATTATGTATTTCCCCCAGTGGATGCTCCAGAGCTAATGACAAGGGGAAGCAGAAATTTAAAGTCCTGGGCCCTATTCTCAAGTCATAATACCCCTAAAAGGCACCCCTGCTCCAGAGCCCCTATGGCCTAGATTCAGGCCACCAGTGCTGACCAGTTTCTCTATTTGTCACACCCTGCCTTCTTCATTTTCACCCATGTCTATCTCCTGTGACTATTTCCTAACAAACCTGCACACATTTTCCCATGCTAATGTTTGGTCCCAAGAAATTCAACCTAGGGCACTCTCCTTTTGGCCTTCCATGCTCCCTGCCTGGATCTGAGGAGTAGACAGACACAGTGAGTATAGTATGTCCCCTGTATTTCAAGTTAGTGTTTCTTGTGACTTCTGAGGTAGAAAAGGAGTATAAGGAGAGCATGTGAAACCTAAGGGAATTATGCACCAAACTGGAAGGAATAATACTTACCATTTCAGGGTTATGCTTACCTCTGCTGATGCAGAGGCCATGGATAACTGGACTCCACTGAGCCCGTCCATGTTTAGGGAACTTATGCCATCAGCTCCTGTGTGGTTAGTGCTCTGTCTTTCCTTCTTTCTGTGCTCTGCCCCAGACTACCACCAATTGTGGCGCCTTGGCCATTACTATTGTGGTATAGTGTTGCTATTAGTGAAGCACCTTTCTCCCTAGTAGGAGTAATCTGAATTTTATTTTCTCAGAAGGGAGAGTTCCTTCTGGAAAGAAATGTATTGACACAAAGTCCTAGGCCCTTTAAAAATCCTCGATACCACTGCTGAGAGAGTGAGATACCCTGGCTCTCAAGTATAGTCTTTCCTTTAAAGCCCTCTGATAGATGGACTTTCTGGGGCACAGAGTTAACTCAGCTTATTTCTTACCCAAATATCTCTAAGCACATGTAGATAAAAGAATGAACCCTCATTTTTATTTTATTTTTAACTTAGTGAAGTGGTTATAATGATTTTTTTCTCTAATAGTTAAGAACCTTGTCTCAAAGAAATCATTTCTTTTTCACAGAAGAGTCCTGTGAATGTAGAAGGCATACAGAAGGCATTGAGGTGAACATGTGATAACCACTTGACAGTTCTGAAAATCTGCTTCATAGATGTCTACCATAGCATATTTAAACTGTTAGCTTTCTTTAAAAATAGTATGTGTGACACAAAGCTTGCTTAAAATAGCAGATTCGTCACGGTCTTCTAAAATTAATATTAAGCATTTTATCTATAGATTGAAATATCTTGTCTATGTTAAATAAATTAAGTAAATAAATAAATGCAAGTGTTCTGAATTACCCGACTTTGGGTGACTTGTGATATAAAATGAAAAATATCTGAAATAGAAGTTGACCAAGACCTTCATTTTGAACATGGGGAAATACTTTATTTTCTTAACTGGAGGAACTTGGTGAGCTTCCTTCCACAGAAGCACAACTTGGTGAGACTCTTTCTTGCGGATCACTGTGCTGGCTTTTTCTTTTTAATGGCCTTCGTGGGCTTTTCTGGTCACATGCAGATCCTGTTCAATCTCCAGGCAGAAAGCAGTAAGTGTTCCCTATGGCAGCTCCCCTTGTTTTGCACTCAGGGCATTTCCTCTGGGGGCTGCCTGTGAAGCTTTGAGAAGGAAGAGTGAGAGCTGTGAAGATGATAGACGTTACCCCGTTGAGGGGAGCTTTGACTCTATTAATATGTAGTAAATTGGAAAATGGTGGCAATAGAAAGCTTGCTTTGAGTTTCAAATCCTTTTCATCTCTTAAAATAAAACAAAACTATAAAAATGAGATTCCCCCCTCAAACTGTGTTAAATATACAAGTTGTGTGAAGATGAAACAATATTGATGAAAGAAAGGTTGATAGTTTTTTTGGGGGGATACCCTGTTTAAAAATTTAAAAGAAACTTGCCTCCCTTTTCAACTGTAAATAGTTTGGACCATTCCTCTTGATTTCCCCTTTGTACATTCATTTCCATTTCATTTTAGGGATTTTTCCTGAGATCACTTGGACCTCTGTGGTGGCATTTTCACTGACCCATTTCTCAGCCATGGCATAGGAGCTGAAAACTGCTGGCCCTTCACATAACCCTCTGAACTGTTTTGTTTGAGAACTTCTGACCTGTAGACACTTGGAACGCGAATGTCCTAGGATAGAACACAAAACAATATCCCCCTAAACACAAACACACCACAACTGGATGGTGTTTCTACAAACTGTCTTGAGTGAGAACCAGAGGCATTTGAGTTTGAAGCTCTTATTATTCACCATGAGATTAGCTCTGCCTAGCATATATAAAGATACAGAATTAGCAGGAGATTCAAAGTAAGAGCCATCTTGCTCACATAACTGATTCTGTTGGGGTATGTGGAGACATTGGGTGCAAGGGAAAGGAAGCCTGAAGAGATCAATCACATTAATAACAGACCTCTTTATAACACATTTCTAAAGGAAGACAATTGCTTTCTGCATCCCACAAATATAGCCATGATCATAAACTCAAGTGCTAGCATCACGCTAGATGAAGAAACAGTACATGCGGTGTTTACATGAATGGATGCTTGAACAAGTTTGCCTGGTTAAAATATGGCCCCATTATGTGCTATGTGTGGAAGCTTCCTGGTCATAGAGAAATAAATCTCTCATTGGTTCTACATGCTTTTTGGAAGGACTAACAAAATAAGCAGATACCAAGGCTTTAGAACAATTTTTGCAACTCAGTACGACTAACATCTGGCTACTACTGTCAGCTTGCTAATAAATCAAACATAAATAAAACTATTTTCTAGGGATTGTGGTAGAGCCTGAATATTCAGCTGTAAACAAAATCCATGGACATTTTCCAAGAAGGTAAGACTCTTGTTTCAGAGAGTTTTCTGAGCCCACACTAACTTTTGAGACCCTGAAGATCAAAGGACCTTCTCCGGCTGATCACCATTATACAGCTGGAAGTTTGTGTTGGGTACCACTTTGCCTTGTTATTGTAGTTTTAACAACCCTCACCTACACTTCTGAGTACAATTCTTTATTCTCTTCTCTTATAGCAACTAATCTGTCTCTTCCACATAAAGGGACTGAATTGTGCTGAGTCTAAAATTATGACAGTTTGTTTTCTCACGTTGATCCAGTCCAGGACTGGTTTGAAAGGCCTCATAGGAAGGTACATCTGAGACATGTAGTTTTCACACTCTCGCTGTACGTTAGCGCAAACAGGCCCAAGAGCACTGATGTGCTCAAGATTGCACAGTCTGTCTCAGAGGATAAAGAGGAAAGAAGCTTCAGATGGGAAATGGGCCCATGGCTGTCCCTCAGGACTCTTCCCACTACATTCCTGCTTCCACACTGGATGACTCAAATAGGGTCATGCTTCATCTATAGCCTTTTCCATAAAAGGCAAATTTATTTTCCTGGACATCATATGGGAAAAGAAAAATGCCAGTGGGGTCATGTCACATATTATCTTTATGCCTGTTTTATTATTCTACCCATTCCAGAAGTGAGATCCTCTCTATTTAAAGCTACGCCTTTGAAGCTATACAGTGCTAGAAACAGAACCTGCCCATGTTATATGGAGCTTAGGGCAAGGACCAGCATTTAACATGAGGAATGAAAGCATCTCTCTTCCTATCTAATGTCATTTCTTTACAAATACTGTTGATAAACACTATTGTAAAGAAATCAACAGAATTTGGAGATGTGTTTGTTTTTATAATGAAATATTGTTTGCTTTGCTCACAAGACACTTGAAACCGATGTTTTAAAGATAGCATTAGATAACTCAGTTTACATATTGACTTCATAAAACTACTAATTCTGGGGACATGACCTAATTTTATATGTGCATCAAGCTCTTCTTGGATCTTCTGGAATGTTCCATCAGATAAGTGAACATGTTCTTTCTTGGGAAGTCTCTGTTGGCCTGACACTGATATCTTTGTAACCAACTTTGGCTGATTTCCTGAATTTAGTCAATGGTAGCTCAATCTTTCATATGAGGAAAGTGGCCAGAATGTAGACATTGCTAACTTGCACACTTTTTAAAATAATTTTTTATATATACTGTATCTTGATCATATTCTTTCCCTTCCCCTAACTCCTCCAAAATCCTTTCAAACTCTCTTCCCACCCAGATTTATAACCTTTTCTCTAAAAATATACATCAAAACCCAGAAACAAAGCTCAAAACAAATAAGACAAAAATATTAAAACAAAAAGTACACAAAACAAAACATGGAATCCATTTTGTGTTGGCCTGGATCATGGGGACTATCTTGGAGTGTGGTTGGGATCCACCTAGTGACACTCCATTGGAGAAAACTGATTTTCTCTTTCCTACCAGGTATTATTTGCAAATGGCTTTTTGGTTAGGGGTTAGACTTTGTGTCCACTTCCTCTTCTCAGTGCTGGGATTTAGTTTTGCCTTGTGTCTCTGGTATCTCAAGGACTTTTATCATGAAGGGATGTTGGATTTTGTGAAAGGCCTTTTCTGCATAAAATGAGATGATCATGTGGTTTTGTCCTTTAATATGTTTTATTTGACAGATCATTTTTATTGATTTATATATGTTGCATTTCTAGGAGGAATCCAACTAGATCATAGTTCTTAGGTTTTGTTTACCAGCATTTTACTGAGAATTTTTACATATATAGTCATAAGAGATACAGTTCTATAATTTTCTTTTTTATTGGGTCTTTATGTGGTTTTGGTAATAGGATAATAGTGACTTTGTGAGAAAGAATTAAGAATTGTTTCCTTAGTTTCTATTTAGTAGAATAATTTCAGGAATATTGGCATTGGTTCTTCTTTGGAAGTCTGGTAGAATTCTGTGCTGTGCTATGTTAGTTGGTGGATTCTTTTTTTTTTGTTTTTTGTTTTTTTTTTGAGACAGGGTTTCTCTGTGGCTTTGGAGGCTGTCCTGGAACTAGTTCTCAAACTCACAGAGATCCGCCTGCCTCTGCCTCCCGAGTGCTGGGATTAAAGACGTGCGCCACCACTGCCCGGCTGTTGGGGGATTCTTAATTACTGCTTCCATTTCACTAGGAGTTATAGCCCTGATTTCCTTTTTATTTTCTCTTGATTTAACTCTGGTAGGTTGTATATATCAAGGGATTCTCTCACATGTTCCAGTTTGGCAGAATGCATATTTTTAAAGTTATGTCTTATAGTCTCCATTTTTTCTCAGTCTGTTTTAATGTCTGTTTTCATCTCTAATTTTCTTAATTTGCATCTTTTGCTTCTGTATTTAGGCTAAATGTTTGTCAATCTTGGCTCTTCTTAAAGAATTAACTCTTCTCATTGTTGATGCTGTTTCTATGTCATTGATTTCAGCACTATGTTTGATCACTTCTTCCTGTCTACTCTTCTTGCTTATGATTTCTTCTTGCTTTCCTAGAGTATTCAAGTGTATTGTTAAGTTCTTAGTATGACATCTCTTCAGTTCTTTTACATAGGCACTTTCTCTCAGAAGCTTCATTTTAGAACTGTCTTCATTGTGCCCCTCAGTTTTGGGTATATTATGCTTTCATTTCGTTCAGTTCTAAAAAGTTTTAAATTTCAATTTTGATTTCTATTTTGATCCAGTTTTCATGTAAGTAGTGAGTGGCTCAGGTTTCAGAACTGTCTTCATTGTGCCCCTCAGTTTTGGGTATATTGTGCTTTCATTTCATTCAGTTCTAAAAAGTTTTAAATTTCATTTTTGATTTCTATTTTGATCCAGTTTTCATGTAAGTAGTGAGTGGCTCAGCTTTCATGAGTTTGTATACTTGTCATTACTATTGATGCTGATATCTAGCTTTAATCCATGATGGTCAAATAGAATGCAGAGTATTGTTTCCATTCTCCTATATCTTTTTTGTGTTCTACTTCTTTGTGTTCTAACACACTCAATTTTTTTAGAAAATTCCATTGAATGCTGAGAAGAAAGTATATTCTTTAGTTTTGGGGTGTAATGTTCTTTGATGTCTGTTAGGTCCATTTGATTTATGATGTTATTTAACTTCAGCATTTCTCTGTATAGCTTTTGTCTGTATAATGTCTTTTGGTGAGAATAGTGTATAGAAGTCTCCCAATATCACTATGTTAGGATCAATATGTGATTTTAGTTGTAGTAGTATTTCTTTTATGAAATTGGTTGCTCCTGTGTTCAGTGCACAAATGATTAGAGTTGTAATATCCTCTTGGATTTTTCCTTTAATGGCTATGCTGTACTCTTTCATATCTCTTCTGACCAATTGCTTTAAATCTATTTTGTCTGATAGTAAAATAGATAAGCCTGCTTTCTTCTTG